AAATAAATGCATCCAAAAATTCCCATAATTAAAATGCATGTCCCTCCGCCCATAAATATAGGAAAAAAAATTCCTCTTTGTCCATAAATATCTGAATTATTTGAATTCCCCCACCCAATATACTTTGTTTATGAGAACGTGTTAAAACTGTCTTATTGATAATCCTTCATCAAATTTTAGACCTACCTCATTTGACCAAGTCAAGGTGTTTGACAGCCCTTTGGGCCCAAAAAATAATTATGGGCTCGATTAATAAAATCAAATGTTAAGGGGCTTAACTGAAAACTTTTTGAGACTTGGAGTCCAACAATACCCTTTTTTTTTCTTTTTTTATTCCTTTGGTTGAAAAAAAAAAGCCACCTGTTTTTCTGGCTAAGGGCAAATAGGAGAGTCTCAAAGCCTGGTGTTGGAAGAACCGATTAAAGCAAAGGCTGAAGCTTGGAGATGGCGTGGATATGGCTGGAAGCAGCATTGCCGCTCGGAATTATCGCCGGAATGCTCTGCGTAATGGGCAATGCTCAGTATTACATCCACAAGGCTGCTCATGGCCGGGTAAAATTTTTTTTCTTTTTCAATGTATCCGAGCAAACTTGAAGCTTTGCCTCTTCCATTTTAAAGCGATTAACAATCGATCGACCGATTGAAATCTTTTCCATTGAGCAGCCGAAGCACATCGGCCACGATATGTGGGACGTCGCCTTGGAAAGGAGGGACAAGAAGCTCTTGGAGAACCTCGCCGCCTCTTCCTCTGATTGAAATCTTTCTTCTCCGGGTACTTCTCTTCTTTCTCTTCAATTTCTTCTGTTGTCTTTCATGAATTTCTAGATAGAGTCACGAAGTCTTCATCCCTTGGATTTGATTTTCAGATTTATACAGATTAGGGTTTTCAGTTAATTACCCATTTTTTGCCAATTGGGGTATTTTCCTCTGGTCGAATTTTCTATGCAATTGATTTAGCAGTTACCTAATTGGTGGCATTGTTTCCATGTTTTCATGGTATTTAGGTCCATTTCCTGATTCCAGTGTTCAACCCGTGTCTGTTGGTGGATGCTTTTTTCTTTTCTATTCACTTTTCATGTATATGTGCTTTTCTATTGGCTTGTAAACGTTACAGTGAGGAGAAAAGTGTTTGGATACTCTTAGCTTAGCTCTCTCCTACTTAGTGTCATTCTATTCAGTGTTAATTGATTAAAAAGATCGACAGGGTTGTGTATCTTTACTTAGGGAGTGGAAGTCAATTCCACAATTAAGGCCCATAACTATATCAGCAACCACATAAGGAATGCTTAATGATTAGTGCTAAAGCCTTTAAACTTAGCAACTATGATTAAAGTTAAGGGGGAGGTGGTGTCATTATTAGGCCAAAGAAGATATGCTAACCACATTCTTTGGTCCTGGCTCTTTTGGAGCATGTAAAGGTTGAAGTTGTGGAAAAGAATTGGAGTTTTCCTGGGAATTAGTGATTTATTTTCAATTATATTTTAAAGTTTATTCTTTGTACCTTTTCTATAAAATTGAAAACAACCTCAGGTAGTTTGACTGTATTGATATGTTTAACCATTTTTTTGCTGAGCTTCTGCAAAATGAGCAAAGTGTGTGGTATATACTTGAGATTATGGTCTTTCATGGTAATTTGACTTTTGATGCCATTCATTGAAAGATTACCAAACCATAATGCTGCAATTAGATAATTTAGTTACTAATTTCAGAAAACCAGATATCTTTTTGCATGTGTGCATGTGCAATAATTAAGATCCAAGTAGCTTCATTCTTAGTTTCACATAACCATTTGTTTATTGGTTGATCCAAGAACTCTTCAGCTGCCCCAGCATTAAGGTGATTACATTTCTTGAGAGGGTTGTCATGAAAGCTGATTTTTAATGGAAGTGGCAGGTGAACATAAATCAGCTGGAATATATCACATAAATAAGATGTTTGTGTTAACTTGTTATAACTTCGCATGACACTACCATGATGTGGTGGAATAGGAGCTTTGGGTTGAAGAGACAGTTACTAATTTTTAATTTCTAGGGCTTTTTGGAACTTGGCTTTTTTGGCCTTTTTCTTTTTCTTTTTTTGATAATCAATCAATCTTCATTATTCGTTTACAATTATCTTTTTCCTAATGATAGTTTATGTGGCAAGTTTGAACTATATATATATAGGTATTAGAAAGGACTTGTTTGTTCACCGTCTCTCCCTAGCAAGATTTAGGTACTGGACACACATGATAGAAAAGTACAGACTACAGACTGCTAATGCCAAATGCTTATACTTCTTGCAGACACCTTTATTTTGTTGTTTGCATTCACTTAGACATTGTCCGTCCAACAATCTTTTCCCTTGCAACTTATCCTTGTTGTGTGGATTTCAATATATATGGAAATAAAACAAACTCTTTGTCTCTTATTCCTATTCCTATTTGCTTCTACATGCGCTTGTTACTGCAATCTTGACTATGAAATGTTGTGTATTTTACAATTAATTGCAGGAAATTTGGCCATCTTAGTCACAAAGAAGGAATAAAATTGTACGCATGATAACTGGAGGCTAAGGAGAATCTGCAGTCAAGTCTGTTTCTACTTTAATGTGTCAATTGCACAGATTTGTGAAATCTTGAAACTGTTCAACTGATGCTTGCTAATGTTGAGATTATCAAATGCTTTTGTTCGAGATTTTTAGTACTCCTTGTCTGTTTTCATTTTACTAATATGCTTGTTGTTCCTACCACCATTCATGGGGTTATTTGGTCTCACGTTTCATGAGATTCTTAAACAGGATTTACCGCAGTCTTTCTTACATAAGCTATGCTCTTATTATGTATACAAAATTTATTGTAGTTAGATTTGCCAAAAAAGAAAAGTTAGGGTTTGGGGCTTTAGTACAACAGTTTGAAACTAGTAGGTAAGAGTTTCCTCATCTAATCCAACAAGTTGATAATTTTAGTCAAGAAAAGTGAAAATTAGGATTTTCTGACATTTTGCTAGAATTGGCTATGAATATGTCCTTAATAATTCTTTTTTGCTCGTATTTAAGTCTTTTTATTATAATTTTTGACATTTTAATTGAAATGATACTGAAAAGATTTAAATGCCTCTAATGAATTGATTTGATCTGTAAAGAAAATTTGCAAAAAAAAAAATTATTAAGGATATTTGGATATTAGTAGCGAAATATGTGCATTAACCCCTCAAGCAGCCCCACAATTAGTGACCGTTGGGGCCATACTGATTCTAAATTCTGAAGTTGCCGCAGAAAGCACTGGCTCTCTGAAACGGTTAAACCCTACTAGAGAATCAGTCCATCACCCACCTTCTTCCTCTTCCTCTCATCCATGTCTTGCATCTCTTAATCTTTACAAAAACAAGTTCTTGACTTTAGCAAAAACCAACTTTGCAGCACCAAGAACCCCTCTTCAATGGGGTTTATATCTTTACCTAAGCCCTGCCAATGGAATCCAAGGGTTTATCCCACCATTCCCAAAAGTTCAATCCCATATTCGCTCAATCCTCTGCATTTCTTCACTACAACCCAAGATTCACTCCCTCCAGACCCAGTCTACGAAGCCCCAACAGCTGAACCCGAGGCCTCGAGTAATGCATCGGTTCAAGGAGAAGACAAGGAGAAGCTTACCGGGAGAGTTCGGCGAGGAAAGCATCAGAACCCAGAAAAAGTAGAGGATATTTTCTGGAGAATGATTGTAAATAGGGCATGGACAACACGGTTATAGAATTCCATCCGGGCACTAGTGCCCGAATTTGATCACTTGTTGGTTTATAATGTGCTGCACGGTGCTAAGAAACTCCGAGCATGCATCTAATTCTTCCGGTGGGTGGAGCGAGCTGGGTTGAACCACCATGACTGAGAAGCGCACATGAAGATTATTGAGATTCTGGGTTGAGCTTCGAAGCACAATCATGCAAGGTGTATGCTTTTAGATATGCACAAGAAGGGGGTTGAATGGGATGAGGATATGTTTGTTGTCTTAATGGTAGTTATGGACAAGCCGGTATAGTTCAGGAAGCTGTGAAAATTTTCCAAAAAAATGGGGGAATTGGGTGTAGAGAGAACTTCTTATCATGCTTTGTTTAAGGTGATTTTGAGGCGTGGTCGTTATATGATGGCGAAGGGGTACTTCAATAACATGTTGAGTGAAGAGTAGAGCTTGTTTGTCATACCTACAGTGTTTTGCTTTGGGGTTTCTTTCTGTCATTGAGGCTTGAGACTGCTAATAGGTTTTATGATGATATGAAGAGTAGGGGGATTTCACCTGACGCGGTTACTTATAATACAATGATTAATGGGTATTATAGGTTTAAGAAAATGGAGGAGGCAGAAAAGTCGTTTGTGAAGATGAAGGCAAAGAATATGGAACCTACAGTGATAAGTTATACTAACATGATAAAAGGGTATGTGGGTATGGAGCGAGTTGATGGTGCATTGAGGTTGTTTGAAGAGATGAAATACTTTGGTATCAAGCCTAATGCAAAAACATATTCAACTTTGTTGCCAGGGCTGTGTGATGCAGGGAAAATGGCTGAGGCTAATACGATTTTGAAGGAGATGCTGGAGAGGTATATTGCCCCAAAGGATAATTCAGTTTTCATGAAGCTGTTGACTTCTCAATGCAAGTATGGTGATCTGAATGCGGCTGCTGATGTGCTTAGGGCAATGATTAGGTCGAGTATTATAATTGAAGCTTGTATATACGGTGTCTTGATTGAGAACTTTTGCAAGGCTAATGAGTTTGATCGAGCAATTAACTTGCTGGATAAGCTTATTGAAAGGCAAATAATCTTGAGGCCACAAGGTTCTTTGGAGATCGAGGCTAGTGCTTTTAACCCAATGATTCAGTATCTCTGACCATGGTCAGACAGAAAAAGCAGAGGTCCTTTTACGGTAGTTGATGAAAAAAGGCATCCCTGATCATTCAGCCTTTAATAGTTTGACCTGCAAGCACGCGAAAGAAGGATATCCTGATTCTGCTTTTGAAATTGCAAAGATCATGGGTAGGAGAGAAGTGCCCAGAGATGTAGATGCTTACAAATTGCTCATTGAGAGCTACCTATGGAAGGGTGAGCCAGCTGATGCTAAAACAGCATTGGATAGCATGATTGAAGGTGGACATCTTCTTGATTCGTCAGTATTCCGATCAGTTATGGAGAGTTTGTTTGAAGATGGAAGAGTCCAAACTGCACGCCAAGTTATGAAAAGCATGGTAGAGAAGGGTGTAAAGGAGCACATGGACTTGGTTGCTAAGATCTTGGAAGCTCTCTTCATGAGAGGACATGTAGAGGAAGCCCTTGGACAAAATGAGCAGCTCGTGCAGAGTGGTTGCATGCTGAATTTTGATAGTCTTCTATCTGATCTTTCTGAGAAAGGGAAGACCATTGCTGCTGTCAAGTTATTAGGTTTTTGTTTGGAGAGAGACTGCATAATAGACTTCTCGAGCTATGATAAGGTATTGAATGCTCTCTTAGGTGCAGGAAAGACCCTGAATGCTTATTCAATATTGTATAATATAATGGAGAAAGGAGAGACCACTAACTGGAGCAGTCTTGACAATTTGGTAAGAGCCTCATCCAGGAGGGCAACACAAAGCAAGCAGATATTCTCTCTAGAATGATGTTAGGAGTGGACACAGCATCTGGAAGCAAGAAAGGGAAGAAGTAAACAACTATTGTGAGCTAAGTGGTCCTTTTATCTTTTTAGATTTTACAACTTTTCTGGTTTTTCTCTCAACGATCGTTAAAATTCATGACCATTCTCTTTCCTGTCCCGTTGATTTAAGATGAGGAATTTTGTTAATTCCATGGAATCATTGATGCTACTGTTGAAGCAATATGTATTTTCATAGATATGAATGACGGTTTCATAGAAATTGTATGAAGGCTTCATGAATGGTTAATAATGCCTGTTCTTCACGTTATTATCATATTTCTATATCTCCTAATTTGATATTTAACCTTTTCACAAATCAAGGGTGTGGCACTTGTGACAGTAAAAACATAGATGGGGTAGCTTACAAGATATAATCCAATTCTTTATATGATGGCAAGTCATGTGTTTTGCTCCCCACAATTTATCATTCAGAAAGAGTCTTCTTATGAACTCAAGTACTTTCTTTGCTGTAAATGTTTAGAAACTCTTTCTATACTGTCTGGTTCCTTTTTCAAATGAAATGGCTAGACTTGTTTTGCCAGGCTGCAAAAATTAGACATATACCTCTTTTCCTTTGGTATATGGTTATGGTGCAGGATCATTGATTGTTAGTTGTCTCAATCTCTCATTATCTCGTATCATCACTGGTGGTGCTAATTGGTGCTCGCATAATTATGTTAGAACTGGTGTGTACATAAAAGATCCGTTTCCATGCCTTTTTCTTCTTTTCTATTCTTGTTTGGCCCCTTTTTTTTCTTTTTCCTTCAGGGTGCAGCTAAATAGAACATTATTGATGATTGTTTGGGGACATTAGTTCAGGGAGAAGGTTTGCATCAACGTTGCATCTTCATGACAATTTTTTTTAACAAGGGTTGGACATACTATAACTTTAAAACTGACTCTAATAACAATTTTAAGTGTTAAATTCATGTCTTTTAGCTGGCAGCTATGATATATATTAATCCAATACTCCTACACCCATAGCATGCCTACCCATCAATGCATATGAACGAACAGAATGTCAACACCTATTGCAGGATATAAACTAGATATGATTGCCTATCGTCAAGCAACATCATGTGTCCTGGCACATGTTATGTGTTTGTGTTTCCAATAAATACAACCCTAACTCAGTCCTAACTCTCACGCTCTCTCACAGGTGAGTTAAACTGTGGGTTGGAT